TCCACTCGTAAATCGAAAACTCATAGATTGAATCTCGTAAATCGAATGAGATCACTCCCTTGCTCGTTAAGACTCATGCGGCTCATTAAGTGCACATGAGGTATCTCAGGGTGGGGAAGGCCATAGGGGGAACAAGGCCTCCCCGACCCACTAAGATACCTCATACTTCCCCCCTCCCTTCCTACCATGCCGGAGTCACTTACCTTGCAAAATCTGTCTCCCCTCTGCCGCGGTTTCTTTCCTTTGAGGGAGAGGAAAAAAGCTTGAAAATGCTTTTCGTGCTGACAATGGAAGCTCCTGGGTGCCGTAATATTGCACGAGTTCAAACACCCATTCTTTGCAAAAGAGATCATGGCCCCCGGAAGCTTCTATTCTCGGGGGGGGGGGAGAGAAGTGTTTGCTTCATTTGCACGCCTATTGGGCAAAGCATGGAATTGGAGTTAGCCGGGTGCAGGAACCAATACCGTCCGTTGCCCAGCTGAGCGGCTTGCTTGCGTGCATTGGACTTAGTTTAAGGGCAAGAATGAAGCCTTCAAATGAGTGGGGAGGCATTGCGTGGCCAGGCCGCTTGCACCCGCATCCAAGCTGGCAGTGGCAGCAACTACCTGAGCAGCCATTATCCCCTTCCCCATCCAGCCACCCACCCCACCTGACATACTCCTTGCCTGGCTGGCTGGCTGACACAAATCCTCACCACTCTCCTCCTCCTCCTTGTCCTCCTCACTCAAGTGGTGGCAGGAGCTTGGGTTTCTTGGCTCCATCTGAGTGGAGGAAAGCAGAGGCACAGCAGCAAGATTGCTCTCAAACAATAAAACCCGGGCGCGCTGCCTGCATGTGTGCCCCAGCCTTATTGAGAGCAATCCTCCTGCTGCGCCTCTGCTTTTCTCCACTCAGACGGAGCCAAGAAACCCAAGCCACTGCCACTAATAAACTTCTTATCCAAAGGGAGGCCTTGGGGAAACTGAATTCTCCCTCTGTGGGCAAATGGGGCAGTTCAAAATGAAGCAAATCACTTCGTTTTCAAATGTCAAATAGGCGCACATAAACTTCTTATCCGCAGGGAGACCTTGGGGAAACTGGATTCTCCCTCTGTGAGCAAATGGGGCGATTCAAAACGAAGCAAATTTGCTGCATTTTCAAGCGTCACATTCGCACACAGATGGAGCTCCCCATCTCTCCAAGATCTCTGTTCGGATAAAAGGTGTTTGAGCGCCTATGGGAGCCTTGGAAACGCAGTGAACTCTGTGCTGGGGCGATGGCGTGCATGTCCACAGAGAGGGCTCTGAGTGCCCCCTCTGGCACGCGTGCCATAGGTACGCCACCACTAATCTAGGCTGTTATGAATCCCAAATTACCACTTCAGCATTTCCACGATATCACCTACGTTTGATGGAAAGGAAAACAAGAACTACATTTTATGTCTCCAAACAGGCTTTCTTCCTTGCCTTTCATTCAGCATAATTACCTATCAGAACAGAGAAAGCAGTTTTAGAATAACAACCAAACTGATATGAACCTAAAAAAATCTAGCTGCTGCTTTATAAAAAAGGGGGCAAAATGTCAGATATAAAATGGAATTAAAATTATCAGAGCTTTGAATGCTAATTTATTAGAAGTCATATTCTAATTTAAATTGACTATTTTAAACCCAATCCTTGCCTTCATATTTTAAATGAATTAGTAATCCAAATATTTTAAACATTTTTTTTCATGGAATTGATCCAACTGCCATTTTTTTTGTGTGTGGGATTTTTTCACAAAAGGGGTTTTCAGAGTTCTTTTGTGGCTTAAAAACAGTGTAAGACAGTCTTTCTCAGCTTGATAGCTCCCTGTTGTTGGAAATTATAATTAGAAGATATGACATCAGGTTGGAAAAAACTGGTGTAAGCAATGGCTATCAGATACTTTTATTTACCTAACAAGATTCAACACAATCTGCTGAACTAATCAGTCCTTCATCATGATTGTCTGAAGCATTCATTAAGATACTAGTTTTATTATATGCAATTTGAAGTCCTTTCAAGAATTCAATATTTAAAGATGTTTGTTCATTTTACCTAGAATTAAATAACAGAGGTGTGCACAGATTGCATAACAAATGACATAATCTCATTTTCCCAAAGCATACAAGCATGCTATTTTATAATCAATGTCTGGGTTCACATACTAATTGTAACAAAATAAAGTTAATTTGATTTTGGTATATAGCACATTGTATGAATCTAGCCAATACCTTAGCATATCACTGTTCCAAACACATGGAGATTTTTCACTAAAGCCTAAGGAAAGCGAAGACCCCCTTTCAAATTAGAAAAAAACTACTTCTGAGTCTATGAAACTGTTCTCTATTTCAATAATGGATGAAAAATGGTAAATTTGAATCTTGATGTTTATTATATTATTCTATATGCAAAGAATCAGTGCTGTCTAAACTCATCTGTAGCAAATGGGTAGGGTGTCAAAGTGTAATGCCATGTGATAACTGCAACTACTATAATAACTCCTTCATTCATCTGCTTGATACTTCCATGGATGACCCCAAAGGTTTTTTGTTTGTTTGACTAGCTTTGCCAGACAACTTTTTGCCAGAGTCTCAACCTATGAGGAATAATACTTGCATAGATATGTGGGTCTGTGAGATTTATGACCAGGACTGAGATCAGAGAAGTCACCCTAGCAATACTCCAATTTATGCAGGCTTCATAATCAGGTACACCCATAAACCTAGAAGTACTTAGAATTATAGAATCATAGGGCTGGAGGGGACCTTGGAGGTCTTCTAGTCCAACCCACTGCCCAAGGCAGGAGTTCTTATACTACCCCAGACAAATGGTTGTCCAATCTTTTCTTGAAAACCTCCAGCAATGGAATACCCACAATTCTGGGAGCAAGCTGTTCCATTGATTCTCCATCCTCGCTGTCAGAAAATTCCTCCTTACTCCCAGGTTGGATCTCCCTCAAATGAGCTTCCACCCATTGCTGCTTGCTACTTTTATCAGTACTATTTAAAATATAATCATTCCTAAATTGGTGCTCTATCAAGATGGTCTGCTGTTAAAAGAGATGGGAATTAGCACCAGTTGGGAAGATTTTTTTATTAAAGACTGAGAGGCTTTCAAGACTCTTGAGAGGAAGAGGATACTCTACTGTATAAACAGTAAAACAATAATCCCACAAATCATATCATAAAATCCCCAAATGGATTTTATGCCGTCCATAATGGATTTGCAAGCCATTCCACAATGGAGTGGATGCAGCCAAGAAGATCTGCTCTAACCTCCTGTCACTGGCATCTTGGGAGGGTTCATTGCCAGGTCCCCTCTCGCAATTGGATGGGTAGGTTGTGTCCTAAGCAGATGCTCTGTATTTTGCTCCAGCTGCAAATGCTAATTTTTAAAATAGGTGTCAGTTTTTAGCCTTTAATGTTTTCATGCAGTGAAAACAGAATTTCAACAACATGTTTACACTGACTTTGAAACAGAAATGACATGCATACAGTGAGGCAATGTATGCACTGATTTACTTAAGATGTATGTAAACTGCTTCCTATTTAACTTCTTGAAGTGGTTTGCAATAAAAAATCAATAGAAGGCGTATCTATTTAAAAATTAAGTTTATTTTGGAGACAGTCAATATTTGTAGGCTTTTTCACAGGGAAGTTGTTAAATGGACAGCCTGTGAAAACAAATTTGCATAGGTTTGTGTGTATAGGCAAGCTTAGTGATAAATAAATATTCCTCTTGTATTCTGAACTAAGTTCCAGGTACAGGCCTATTAGGTAGATTTGTTTGAATATAAATATATTGGCCTACTTTCCAGGTCTCTTATAAAGTTTATTAATGTACTTTAATTGAAACGTTTTGTGCTCCATGCTAAATGCATGCTAGGAATATGTTTATACCCATGTATACAGTTTCCAGGACTTGCATAAGTTACACATCTGAAGTAAGAGCTTGCTAGCACAGGGGTCCCCAACCCCCAGTCCATGGACCGGCACCAGGCCGTGGTATGCCAGAAACTGGACCCCGCAAACAAGCAAAGCCCCATCTGCGGGATGAGGCAGCATACGAAACCATGTTCCCCCTCCAGGCCACAGAAAAGCTTCTCTTCACAGAAGTGATCTCTGCCCAAAAGGTTGGGGGCCACTGTTAAGGCAGATTTAAATAACCATGACGTTTTATTTTTTAAATGTTACAGCACTCCTTGAGTTAATTTCTTTTAATTTCATACCCTCCCCTATTTCCCCATGCTACCTATTTAGGATTCCTAATATTAGTTGCCAATTCTTGGGCCCTGCATGCATACATTCATAATCTTTGTGCAGCTGTTATCATTGTGTAGATATTTGATCCTGCCTTTATTATTTTTGTTAAATAACTCAAAAGTGGCAAACATATCCACTACTCTTTCCTCCTCCTATTTTCCCCACAACCACCAATGTGAGATGAATTGGGCTAAGTGAAAGTTGTCTGGTCCAAAGTCACCCAGCCAGTTTTCCTGTCTAAGGCTGGCTAGAATTCAGTCTCCTGATATCTAGCCTGATGCCTTAACTCAGGGGTAGTCAACCTTGGCTCTTTTATGACTCGTGGACTTCAACTCCCAGAATTCCTGAGCCAGCACAGCTGGCTCAGGAATTCTGGGAGTTGAAGTCCACGAGTCATAAAAGAGCCAAGGTTGACTACCCCTGCCTTAACCACTAGACCAAACGTAGTCTTGTCCTCATGTTGTCCTCCTCTTCCCCCACAACCAATAACCTTGGAACCTCCAGGGTAGCCCATCTTGTTTTGAATGCAAGCAGATGTGAATTTTTACCTAGCTCTGATCCAAATGAGTGCAGCGGTTTTCTTTTTGTAGGGCAAGAAGACAGAAGAGCCCTTCTCTGTGGTGACTACAGACTAGAGGAATTCTCTAGTGAGTTTCCACTTCACCGTAGTACCCAGCCCATCTGCCCGGGGGCCTTTTCCCGCGCTTGGCTAACAGCTTCTTTTGTGTCCTGGCAGGTCCAGCAGGTCCAGGTGTTTGCTGATGTGCAGTGTACGGTCAACTTGGTGGGCGGAGACCCTTACCTGAACCAGCCTGGCTCCGTGGATGCGCAGAAAGGCAGCACAGCCTCTCAGACCCCCCAAGCCCAGCAGAAAAGTCTTCTTCAGCAGCTACTGACTGAATAACCTGCTTTTCAAAGGAATGTGAAATTTAAATAATGACATACAGATATATAAATATATATATATAAATATATATGTATATTATATATTTTTCTGAGATTTTTGGTATCTCAAAAACTTGCAGCCATTCTTCAGCTCTTGTAGTATATGGAGCAGGAAAAAAAAATCCCTCCTCCCCTTTTGGTTTTTTTAAACAATGATGGATTTCAGCAAAGTGACAAGACAGAACCGTTGAGCCAAATTTTACAGATTATCCTTATTTTTATAATCAGTTGCTGGCTTCTTTTCCCAGAAGGACATTACTAGTGGGGTTGAGGGTGGGGGTGGGAGAGCAAAACGGAAGGCATGTTGCTGTGAGGTGGAGGAGGAGAAGGGGTTGAAGTCTCAGTTTCAGCTGGATCTGTCACTGATTTGCATCTTCAGTAAAGCAGGAATGGGCAAATAATTGTGCACGCTCATCTCTTTTTTGGGAAGGGATGTTCCTTAGCTGTTCTTAAACATGTACGCCCTTGCTCACTGCTTGCCCCCAATTCGTTTGTGCAGTCAGCTTTTCTTAGCAATCGTGAGTTTGTCAGTTTTAAAGAAAAATAATATTAATAATATTAATAATAATAAATATTTTGCCCCACCGTTTTTTTCATGTTTTATGCTGGTAAATAGACAGCCTCCTTAGTGACAAAGAGGCCTTTGTAGTATATGAACAACAGATCGAGTGAGAGTTCCTATGAAAACTAATATAATTGTTGAAAATAAAACGTGTAAATCCATTTGGGGGATAATTGCAATTATTTTTAGGGGGAAGAGGAGGAAGTGGCTCTGAAAGCAATGCACCAAGTGCATCCCACCCATTTCCATGGGATTTGTAAGAGAGACACTGGGCCACAGACAATTCTTGTCAAAAGTGAAATGGAGGAAGTGCAGCAGAAATTCAAGCTGTAGTTCTGGCCACTATTGTAGATTTTTTTTTTTAAAATAGTGATCCAAATTGAGCAGTCAGCACTTGTTTTTGATTCTGTTTAACAGCCAAGATAGCATAAAACTATTTAAAATAATACGGATTATGATTTATAATAAAAAGGCGCTTCTCTGTGGAATGGGAGACAAGTTAATACTTTTCTCCCCTCAGGCCTTTTAATGTAAATAGCTCAGACTTCTTGTATAAATTGGTTTCTTTCTCTTTTTAGTTTGGGGATTGCTCTTAAATAGCATTGCTTTTGGAAGGGGTGGGCGATTTCTTTCTTTTCTCTCTTTCTGAAATTTTGTTGATGTGTGAAAATAAAACTGTGTAGCTTTTGTTAAATGAATTTGCAAGAGTTTAAAACACAAAGAGACAAACCTAATGGCTGATGTTGCATTATTGCTTAGAAAAGAAGGTATGGAGTTATATTTTTAACAGTCTGGAAGAGACACAAGATCATGAGAGGAAGGGGCTGATAATAAAAGAGAGTTTGCTCAGCAGGTGACTAACAATAATTCAAGGCACCTCTAAGATGCAGAGATCTGCCCTAGATGGTGGCATTCTAAAGTTCAGATTTTCTCTTAGTTGTATCCATGTGGATTTAAAAAAATAAAAACTAGGAGAGTGTTCACTGCTCAGACCTGAACTAAATACCAAAATCCAACATGCTCTCTTGCCACTCTAATCATGCAAGGGTTTGGTTTTACAGAAATCAACCAGCATCAATGAAATATCAAGAAAGGATTAATATATATATATATAATCTACTGAACATGCCTCAATACTGTAGCACTGTACAGCACCTAGCCAAATCTTGACTGATCTTTAAAACGTCAAGCAAGATTAGGTCTAGTTAGTACTTGGATAGAATATCAAGAAATTGAAAGATTGAAAAAAAATCTCAAAATCAATCCTTGGTTGTATAAATAGGGGCATAGAATCAAAATCTACTTTATAAAACCTTAGTAAGACCACACCTGGAATAGTGCATCCAGTTTTGGTCATTACATTACATTACAGAAAAGATGTTGAGACTTTGGAAATAGTGCAGAGAAGAGCAGCTAAGATGATTAAAAGACTGAAGACATACGAAGAACAGTTGCAGGAATTAGGTATGGCTAGTCTAGAGAAAAGAAGGACTAGGAGTGACATGATAGCAGCATTCCAGTGTTTGAGGGGCTGCCACAAAGAAGAGGGGGTCAACTTATTTTCCAAAGCACCTGAAGGCAAGATAAGAAACAATGGATGGAAACTAATCAAGAAGAGAAGCAACCTAGAACTAAGGAGAAACATTCTAATAGTGAGAACAATTAACCAGTGGAACAGGTTGTCTTCAGAAGTTGTGGGTGCTTCATCACTGAAGGTTTTTAAGAAGAAACTGGACAGCCACTTGTCTGAAATGGTATAGGACCTCTGCTTGAGCAGGGGGTTGGACTAGAAGACCTCCAAGGACCCTTCCAGCTCTATTCTGATTGATTAAACATAAGTGTATACTTGTAACTGGGAGAACTCAAGCTTATTTTATTTTATTAAATTTATATACCGACCATGTTACAGTTATGCAAATTGAAAGAGAGAACTTTTTTTTAGTAAACTTCCATATATCCCAACTGGGAGAGGCTAATAACTAGCTGGGTTTTTCTGATCTATTCTTTAGGAATTATGGTTCCAACCATGCCAATTTAACAGAATAACAGTTAGAAGGGACCTTGGAAGTCTTCTAATCCAACCCTCCACTCAAGCAGGAGACCATATACCATTTCAGACAAATGGCTGTCCAGTTTCTTTTTACAGGGGTCCAGTGATGGAGCACTCACAACTTCTGAAGGCAAGCTGTTCCAGTGGTTAATTGTTCTGTCAGGAAACTTCTTGGTTCTAGATTGCTTCTCTCCTTGATTAGTTTCCAAACATTGCTATCATGTCATCCCTTATCCTTTTCACTAAACTAGACATACCCAATTCCTGCCATCGTTATTCATATCTTTTAGTCTCCAGCCCTCTAATCCTCTTTGTTGCTCTTTTCTGCACTCTTTTGGGAGCCTCAACATCTTTTTTATATCGTAACCAAAATTGGATGCAGCATTCCAAGGCCTTATATAGCAGTACTAACACTTCACGTGATTTAATTCTATCCCTGTTAAAGCAGCCTAGGGCTGCATCGGCTTTTTTGGCTGCTGCCACACACACACAAAATTTCATTTTGTTAGATAGAACTGTGTTCAAGGCTGTCGAGATCCATCTGGATCTTGAGCCTGTCTTCTGGGTGTTGTCTATTCTTGCCAACTTGCTGTCATTTGCAAATTTGATGATTCCTCTTTTATTCTCTCATCTAAATCATTTATGAAGATATTGAAGAGTACTGAGCTTAAGACAGAAATTTGGGGTACCCTATTGCTTACTTCCCTCCATGTACATAAAATTTCATTAAAGACTTCACTTTTGAGTGGAGTTTGTCAGCCAGTTATGAATTCATCTGGTGGTGATGCTGTCTATCCCACATTTTTCTAGCTTTCCAAGAAGTAGGTTGTGGTTTACTTTGTCAAATGCCTTATTGAAATCCAAGTATACTATGTCCACAGCCTTTCGCTGGTCCACTAATTTAATCACTTAGTCACAGCATGATCTGTTTTTGACAAACCCATGTTGGCTTCTGGTTACAATTTGACTTGCTTCTAGGTGTTCGCAGATCTGTTGCTTGATTATCTTTTCCAGGATCTTCCTAGGTATTGATGTCAGGCTGATTGGTCTGTAGTTTCTTGGATCAGGTTTTTCTTTTGAAGATGGGAACTACATCAGCTCTTTTCCAGTCCTCTGGTAGTTCCCCAGCGTTCCAGGATCTTTGAAAGACATAGTTCAATGGTTCCAAGATCATGTCTACCAGCTCCTTCAGAACTCTGGAATGTAATCCATCGGCTCCTAATGACTTGAACTCATCTAAGTGGACAAATGTTCTTTTACTATTTTCTTACCTATTTTAATCTGAATTTCTAGTCTGTCCTTTACAGTTGTTTTTGGGAGGTTGGGCAATTATTTTCCTGTGAAGATAGATGCAAAGAATTAAGCAGCTTTCCTTTATCCCTGCTGCCCGCCACTTCCTTGCCATCTTCTCCCATAAGTGGATGGTTTCTTTTACTTCAACTTCAAAAAAGTTGAAACTTTTTTTTATTTAGATATTTGTTGCATCTTAGTTTATTCTGAGCCTTAGCTTTCCTGTTTTCATCTTTGCAGATTCAGGCTATATGCAGTTATTTCCTTAGTTATGTGTCCCTCTTTTCATTTTTTATTTTTGTCTTTCAGTGTATCAGAGTTGTTTGTGCAACTGTGCTGGTTTCTTCTTTCAGTGGTATTGTGCTTTTATGATGCTTTTATGTGCTTTTATCATGACATTTTTTGGTTTCCCAAGCTTTTTGAGTTGTTTTTCCCTTTAAAATTTTTATCCATGGAATTCTTCCCAAACTCTTAAGTTTGTTGAAATCAGTTCTTTTAAAGTCTAAGACACTGTTTTGCTTATGTCTGCATTATGTTGAATTCTAATACGATATGGTCACTCTCCTCCAACGTTCCTGCAACTTTAACCCCCTCTATCATTTCTTTTCTGTTAGTAAGAATTACGGTAGGTCCTGTATGGCTGACCTTCTAGTTCCATTTATCTTTTAGATGACAAAGTTGTCACCTAGGTTGGTCAAGAATCTATTCGATCTCCCACTTAATGCAGAGTTTGTCTCCCAACTGATGTCAGGGTAGTTAAAGTTTACCATTTTTACTGTTTCCTACATTTGTTAAATGTTCAGCAAAAAGTTCATCTATTTTTTTTCTTCTGGGTTGTGTGGCCTGTAATATACACCTGTGACATTGTCATTCTTTTTTCTTTTTATATTCACCCACGTGCATTCTAGGAGGCTTTCATCCTTGGTTTTATGCATTTCCGTAAAGATGTAGCGATCTCTTACATATAACGTAATTCCATCTCCTCTTTTGGAGGTATATATTGGCTCTTCTATTGTCATTCACAGTATCACAGAATTGGAAACTACGCATTATCACTTCACTTAGTTTAATTCATCCAAGTTTACACATATCTAATTAACAGTTTTTCAGCTGTTAATTAGCCAATCCCGGCTATGAAAGCAGCCCCAAACCATAAAGCCCCAAACCATAAATAAAGCCATAATCTTTTTCAGCAGGAGGCTAATAAAATATTTCAACACAGAACGTGATTTCAATATAGAAATATGGAATTTTTACAGTGCATTATTCAATACATCCACTTGGGATATACAGTATAAAATCAAAATAACTATCTTAAATGAATTACATGCTATTAAAGTTTTTGCAGAAATATTTTTCTGCTTTAAAGTACATAGGACTAGTGTTAAGAGGCCTCATCTTCTTTATTCATGAATTTTATGTTTTTATTGAGATTTTGTCAAAAGCTTTCTAAAAGCTCAGAAGGGTTCTTTCTGCATCTATGAACTACCACTATAGTAGTATTAGTGCAGATAAAAGAAATTAGAATATTTTGCTACCCAAAATATTTCCTAATGTAAATCTGAATAAGCAATCAAATCCTGATTATTAAATTTATATGCCGCTCATCTCATCAATAAAGCAATTCTGGGCGATTTAATATCCTGAATCCCCTCTTCAATAATATTAAGGCACCCAAAGTTTCCTCTTAAATTGAGAAAGCTGTGTGTTAGGCCGTACCATGAGATGCCTTGCCTCCTAATGATATGAATCCATTATTTTTTAGTATCTTTATGAAATGCTCTGATTGAAGTAAATTCTTGCATCTCACAATGCTCCTATTATATTGCAAAGGGAGACTGAAAAAAACCAAGTGAAATATACTTTTATCTGGTCAACTGTTCATGGCTAGAGAGAAAAAGGATCATTTCAAGAGTTTGAAATTCTTTAGATGATGATGTACATGCTCCTTCAGGTAGGGACGGAGGGCAATGCAAGTAGCTATGTTTTCTGGTTGTTCTATCCAGACTTTATGATCAATGCCATTCTGTTGCAGTCTGTCTGCTAATGTGCTCAAGGCACACTCATCTGGAGCCTAAGAAACAAAGGAAAACAATCTCAGTGCAATATAGAATCAAAGATTGCTATAGCATTCATTGGTAACCTCTGTCTTGCTAAAGCTACAATGACTAGCAACTCCAAGAATTATCTGCTTAACTGAAAACAGCAAAAAGCATCAGTTGTACTTTAGGTGGTAAACTGTAACAAACTGCTGTTTTGAAGATAATCAGAGATGGCAATAACCACAATTCTAAATGCACTTACAACAAAGACCCAGTCCATACAAATGCACTGAATTTTATGCCGTAATATTGTGCTGTGGATGCATAGAGATGTGCTGTGATGCATAGAGATGTGCTGTAATTGGGAAGAAATTACAGATGTCACTGCATCTTAATGCCTTAGAAACTGGTAAGTGTTTTATACGCACACGCACACACACCCATCCCTCAGGAGCTCTTGAAGCAGAATATGCATTAAAAATAGCATCACACAGATTTTATCTGTCCATTCCTTTCCTCCATCATTTGGATACAATCAATGCTACAATGCAAAGGCTTTGGATCCAAAATGTCCAGTCCAATCTCCTGTATGCAGCTTTGCTGATTAGAACCCCCTAATTCGCAAAGTAATTTTTTTTTTTACAGAAAATAGGAAAATCTGTTGAATTCCAAACCTAGCTGTTAGATTCCAGAACGTCATGGCCAGAAATCTTATTCAAAATCTAAGGGACTGGTTTGGACAAAACTCAGCAGCACTTTTTCATGCGGCTGCTGATCAAAACAGGATCGCCAGCGTCCGATAACGGATATGGCACAAGAAGAAGAAGAAATCTTATGTATTTATTCAATAATCAGATATCATTTCCATTTATGCTCTTGCTACTCCTGTTTATGGTTAAAAGTCCATTCTAGAAAAACAGTTCAATGGTTTGACTAGGCAGAAACCCTTTAGAGCAGTGGTTCTCAACCTGTGGGTCGGGACCCCATTTGGGGTCGATCGACCATTTCATGGGGGTCGCCAAGCAAGCCTGTCCGCCATTTTTGTCTGCCATTTTTTTTCCCTTTTCCGGCGGGTGCCTTACCTCCCTTGGGCTGGGCCAGCTGGTGGTTGGCCGCTTGCCAGCTATGCCTCGGCCGGCACAGGGGGTGGAACCACGCATGCGCGGCGCTCCCGGGCAGGGAAAGTCCTCGACTTACGACTGGTTGGGTAGTCCTCGACTTACGACCGGTTTAGTCCTCAACTTACGACCGGTTTAGTCCTCGACTTACGACCGGTTGGGGTCACGGCATTAAAAAGGTTGAGAACCACTGCTTTAGAGTACAGTAATCGCTCTCCAAAGGAGCAGCACCCGTTTACGCCTGCTAAAACAGAAACAATCGGCCTCATGGCACTTTCAAGACTAACGTAGGCCCTTCCCTTCCCAACCAGCTGAAAAAGGGAAAAAGCAATAGCAAATATAAGGAAGATCAGTTTGGCGAAAACTTAAAGCTTGCAGAAATCAGGATCACGCATGGGAAACCTATTAAATCAGTGTTTCTCAACCTTGACAATTTTAAGGCACGTGGACTTCAACTCCCAGAATTCCACAGCCAGCATTGCTGGCTGTGGAATTCTGGGAGTTGAAGTCCACGTGCCTTAAAATTGTCAAGGTTGAGAAACACTGTATTAAATACTGGTTTTCAGATTCACAGGTTAATGCAGCCACGTAATACACCACCATCGATACCACCCGTTTTGCAGGGCTGGTCTGGGAAATTTCTGGGAGTTGAAGTCCACCCATCTTCAACTTGCCAAGGCTGAGAAACACCGTTAGGCAATGCTCACCTCCAGCACCACGGTCCTCATGCTGCCATCCTGGGCTAGATAAGCCGCGGTGTCTGGATGCTCGTAGTACGCGTGGACCACGGCCAAGGCCGCGTGGCAAGCCTGAGCCACCGAGGCCCCCAACGGCCACGAGAAAGGCTCGCGCAACAAGTCGCCCCTCAGCACCACGTATTGCACTAAAGAGCGCGCCGCCACCGCCATCCTCAAGCCGGAAATGAGGCGATTCCTAAAGGAACTCTGGGAAAAAGAGAAATGAAGGGAGGCGCCCGTTTCCGTACAAGAGAATAAGTTAAGGAGTGGGGTTAGCCATCTTGCTGTACGGCGTCAGCTGAGGTAGAGGGCCTAAGGCAGGGGCTCTTTTATGACTCGTGGACTTCAAGTCCCAGAATTCCTGAGCCAGCCAGGAGAGGTTTTCAAGCTGAGCCATGCTGGCTCAGGAATTCTGGGAGTTGAAGTCCACGAGTCATAAAAGAGCCCAGGTTGCCTACCCCTGGCCCTAAGGGGTAGACTCACTCGCGAGTCATTTCGGGAAGAAGGCAAAGTCTCGCCCCGGTGTCCGGATGACGCGCTTCGGAGGGCGGTGTGTCGTTGCTGGGCGGGAGTTTTGAACCCAACCATCGGTCAATTGTTGAAGCGACCGTAGTGAGTTTTTAGCAGGCCGCCCAGGCAAGTCGTGAAGCTGGCTGCGTCTACACAGCGATTGAGCCACTCGAGTCTAAGGACCGCTGCCGTTGCCCTCGGGAGCCCCCCGAGTCCCCTTTCCTCCTGATTTGGGGCTCCGGCCTGCCTCCCGAATTGCTCACCCGTAAGGGAGAGGCAGAGCCCGGGGTGGCCAATCCGGTCGTCTCAGCAGCTTGGAAAGGAGACATAGAAACAAAAAGCGAAGCGGTGGTGGGAATAGCATACGTTCATTCGCCACAACCGTTCCGAAAAATAATTTCCAGGCTCCCCTGGTTTCGGAGGTCGCTGTTCTTTCGCAATTCTTAAAAGAGAGCCGCGGGGTCCTCTGCCTGCTCAAACTAGGAATTTAAACGAGTATAATATAATGAGAAACAGCCAGACAGGCTTCCGAAGGTGTTGACTTCTGTAATGGCGGTTATTCTCAACCATTAATTCTTCTGGCTAAGGATGGTGGGGATTATAAGGGCAGTACATTAGGATGGCAGTGGGGAAATTGACTTATGTGGTTATATTAGGGCAGGGGTAGGCAACCTTGGCTCTTTTATGACTCGTGGACTTCAACTCCCAGAATTCCTGAGCCAGCTATGCTGGCTCAGGAATTCTGGGAGTTGAAGTCCACGAGTCATAAAAGAGCCAAGGTTGCCTACCCCTGTAGTAGGGGGTTGATGCTTAAAAAAAGACTACCGGTAGGTACCTACTGAGTAAAGAAGCTGTTTAAACCATGGATTATTTTTTTTTTCTGAAAATGATTAATTCTATTCCAGAATTTAACTTTTCAAACACCGACATTCATTAAGCCATTCTTTCTGTGTTAAAATTCTGCAGGAAGCTGAGGAAATTGCTCCCCCTTTTAGAACCAGAGAAGAAAATCTTGTGGGATTATTATTTTTGGCTTTTTTTTTTTTTAAAGGAATTGAAAGTAAAAAATGGACAAAATTGCCATTTCCTCTACAAATGGTAAGTTAACAGGCAGTAATGTGCAGGTAACTACTCTGTTCTATTTTAAAGGAAGTAAAATGGACCCTCGTATAGTATTCACTGGCTTTTTGTACAGAGTGCTGGTTATCAGAATGGAAAATCTAGCTAATGCTGTAGTTTGGTAATTAATACTGAACAATTAGAAAGCAGTTCTCTAATTATAATTAGGTCTTAAGTTAATGTACTGCCTATCTAATGTCTATAATTAGAACAAAAAGCATGTGGACAAACAAGACAAACAAGTTCGATAATTTGATGTACTTTATGAAAGATATTTTTATGAAATATTCATCTGCTTACTGCTTTGAATTATGCACTTTAGAAGTTTTCAGAAAATCTGTACAAATATTAATATTTTGATAATAGTGTATAGTATGTATATATATAAATTATATAATTACATATACATAATTATGTATAATATATATGATAGGGAATGAACTCCATAAAGGCAGTTAAATAAATCTTATAAAAACTTTATGAGAAGAGGATAATTTTTGCCTGCTAGATTTCTGATCACAAGTTTGTTTATTCAATTTCTATAGCCACTCATCTCAGTCAATGACTCTAAGCCAAATAAACTAAGCCAGTTTATTTATGACTCTAAGCCACACACTTCAGTTTGTGAAGATAATTGGGTATGATTTTTATATTAAAATTTTGTTTTCTTTGCATATATTTTTTGCAGGTACATTATCTCATTTGGAAATGTTGGAGGATTCTGCCCGCAACGTAACACTGAAGCAAGGGGGAATAAAGGAGCATGAGGAGAAGATATTAAAGATGAAAATGAAGATCCTGGAGCTGAGATGTCAAAGAGATGAGTTAAAAACCAAACTAAATGTTTGTCGATCACAGGTGAGTGTGCAGTATGTGTTGACATAAAGACAACATAGGCTGATTTCTTGTTTAGGGGCTGGCAGAATGTAAATCATGAAGCTGGGTTACTAAACAAAGTTTTGCCTGAAAGGATAAACCTATACTATATAACTTGAACTTTAACAGAAGTCAAAACAGCTTTTAAATTATCTACAGTAAACCTCCAAGGAAAATGAGCATATATTAAACAATTTTCTAAATATTTCTAGTCTGATAATTCAGTTATATTAATTCACTTCTGTAAAAGAGGTGGGTGTAGGTATTGCTTGTATAAATGCATTGTTTCTTGTTTCTGACTTGCAATTTTTATATTGTGTTAATGTATCCTTATCTATCAGTAATTGTATTTTGCTTAATTAATTATATTTCTCATTTTTCATAGTACATTGAACCATAAATAAACCATGTGGTCTGGGTTGTGTAGCACACTAGGCAAAAATTGGGTTATCTAGTAATTGAATCAGTGTGTCATAATGTGTAGACTTTTTGCTATATTATCTAAATTCATTGCCTGTTAATCCATAATATATTTGTTGCTATTAAATTTTATTGCCATTGCTGGATATCTCCTTGTAGTTATAATTAAAAATGTTCCCTTGTGATAAATCCGGGGAAATCAGATAATGCAAACAGCTTCTAGTTTTAAGTTGTCCAATGGTTACATTAATCAGACAAAATGGAAATTACACTGGGACTCTCCTTTTTTAGACCAGGAAAACATGTCTCGTCCTATTGAGCACTGAATTACAATTAATTTACTTGTATAATTGTCTTGTGGTATATGAATTTGTATTTGGCTTGGGAAAAACTGTACAGAACATTTTTTACCTGCACATGTCAAATATTGAAAAGAACGTGGCTCCTTAAGAACATTTTCCTTAACAACCTCCTTTTAGTAGAAGTGATGGAGTTTCTGGGCAATATAGACCTAACAAGTTGTAATCATTGAGTTGTAACTCTCCTGTTCTTTTGTAGTTCACTCTAGGCAAAGATGCTATGAAAAACAGTTTGCAAGTTTCTAAGGCTACAACAACAAGCCAACAGGCGTTAGAGTGGAAGATAGAGAATGCCAAGGGTCTGCTAGAACTTTTTCATCTGACAGGTACCCTTGTCACATATTGATAAGATTCTGTTCTTAGGCTAATCAGTTGCCTGGCAATATGGTTTATCTTAGCCATTTCTCCTCTCTGCTTTAGTTTAGAACTTATAAGGCTAAGGTCCTAGGTCAGGGGTTCCCAACCAGGGGTGTGAGACGATATTCCAGAGGGTGTGAAAACTTGGGTTTTCAAAATTATATGTATATGCATAATTTGTTGTCGTTATTTTGAACTTTTGTAAGGGGTGCAAGAATATATCAGAAGTGTTCTAGGGGTGCGGGGTATAGAAAAGGTTTTGAACCACTGTCCTGGGTTACTCTATCTTTGCCCAAAATATATCTGACTAATTTTGTGCAATATACTTTTCAATAAACAGAGCTTTATACCAAATCTTTTGGACTGGGACAACAAAGAGATGAGTAAGGGCTGGAATTTTGGGTAGGCAAGAAGTAATGAGAGAGCCAGTTTAATGTAATGATTCAAAGCACCAGGCTAGAAACCAGGAGATTGTGAGTTTGGTGCCTGCCTTAGGCACAAAGCCAGTTGGCTGTCTTTGGACCAGCTATTCTGTCTTAGCTCTAGGATTTAGCTGTATACAATTGTAAATCACTTCCAAAACTACTGCCATGAAAACTGCTTGGACCTGTCCATGTAGTCACTAAGACTGACTTGAAGGTGCACGTACACACAATAAGCAGGCATTCTGAGAATTTTATAAATAATCATTTGTTAAGGAACAAATGTATAGGAGCAGATGGCAATATCTAATTGATTTTACATTGAAGCTTACCAATGAGATCGGGTTAGAATTTGAATGAGAAACTCCCAAGGACTCTTAGGATTGTAGACTAGGTTAGGAAGTTGACAATCATTCTAAAGAACACAGTGGCAAACCACTTGTATAACATTGTTAAGAAAACTGCATGTTTACAGTATGTTGTCGCCAGGAATCATGCTGAACTTGAATGGGGTTTTTACATTTTATTTAGCAGCAGACAGATATAGTACTTTATCAAGCCAGCTTTGAAATTCTGATCTTAAATGCATTTTTTTCTAGGCCTAAGTGCAAAATTGACAGAGCATGGAGTCTCCTTTTACATCAGCACTGCCTTTGAAGGAACTTATCTAGATTCCTATTATTTAGACATCCTTATACAGAAGCCACTCCAGATTCAACACCATACAATCCCAGCTTTCATACCTCTGGAGCAAATAGCTCATGAGCATTTGCAGAAAGACATTAAGTGCTTCCTGTCTGTACTCTCAGATCATCTGAACGCTTATGCTAGAAGGAAATTCCAGGTAGATCAATTACAGGTAAGGGGGGAAATGGTGTCCTGGACATGTATAAAACAAGGAACATTTTGCTAATAGCCTTATTTTATCTTTTCTCAAAAGAAGTTTCATGCAGGGTGCTGTGAACTGGGTGTAGCTAACATAGTCTTGGAGTTATTCTGCCATGTGATTATGGCTGCCTCACTTTTAATCATCAGATAGTAATAACCATATTTTAAACTGGACAAGGGCAGAAGGCCCAAGCAAATAAGCTGGATTAATTTGAACCAATGATTTAAATCACTGAAATAAGGATTCTTAGCAAATCATATTTATGAATTATGAATTTAGAATCTTGAACAATTATAATTTTGCTCTGTCATTTAAAACTAACAAATCAGTAGCATAAATAAATATTCATTTTCTGTTGGATTCATTTAATGGACCTTACTATAATAACCTAAAATAAAATTTAAATTGAAAAAAAAATAATATAAAAATTAATAAAATAATTTAAATTGTAAATTTAATATGGCCTATCTACTGTAAATAGCTGTATCAAGTATACTGTAACACAGATAAAAGGCTTTTAGTTATTTCTGGTGTCAAATTTATTTTTCCCTTGGTGTATCTTGGTTTTCAGTTATATACAGGGAAAGACAAATCTGTTTAATCTTATTTTTGTACCTATAGTCTATTGTTCCAGTTCTACGTCAATTTGCACTTTTACAAAATAGTGCCTTTTTCTTTGCATTTCTTCTGATGAAAGCAACATATAGGTAGTCCTCGCCTTATGAACACAACTGAGCCCAAAATTTCCATTGCTAAGCAAGATAGTTGTTAAGTGAGTTTTATCTCTTTTAAAAATCTTTCTTGCCATAGTTGTTAAGTGAACCACTGCATTTGTTTAGTTGTTAACATAGTGGTTAACTGACTCTGGCCTCCTCATTGACTTTGCTTGTCAGACAGGTCATCACATGGCCCCAGGACACTGCAACCATCATAAATATATGCCAGTTGCCAAGTATCCAAATTTTGATCACGTTGACCATGGGGATGCTGCAATGGTCATAAATGAAAAACTCGTGTCACTTTTTTCAGTGCCTTTGTAATTTTGAACGGTCATTAAACAAATGATTGTAAGTCGAGAACTACTAGTATTTTGAAGCAGATGCCTTTTTGCAAGTATAGAATTGTTTTTCATCAATATATAGTTCTGTATATACTTCTATATATCCATTTTGTGTTAATTTTGATCAGAAAACTGGTTTGCTATTTGTTATTGATATGAACATTGAGCAGTAACTAAGCTGGGAAGCTAAGAATTCATTCATTCATACCTTCAGTTTTTAAAGCTACTAGCCTCTAATGATGATGAGAGGCTTACATAGGGTTAAAATATCAAAATACAAATTAACATATCAATAAAAACATTGCACTGGGGACAATTAACTCCCAAGTATATACTTGCATACAGGTTCATGCAATAGTCTGGTCCAGTGCCTATAAAAAAGCAGTCTTTAGGGCACTATGAAAGACTGCCAGCATCCTGATTCTAACTACTTGCTCTAAGAAACATCTTTGCACTTGACATGGCCGACTACAACTACTGCTACATCTGGTCCCCAATATTTAAAATATAGTGCATTGACCTTGTACAGACCTTTTGAAAATCGTACTGTCATGGGTTCTCCATTTCTGGAGATTTTCAAGAAAAGACCGGACAGCCATTTGTCTGGAATGATATAAGTTCTCCTGCCTTGGGCAAGCGATTGGACTAGAAGACATCCAAGGTCCCTTCCAGCCCTATCATTCTACGTATGCTTTTTGTAAATTTTTGAGGTGTAGTATGTAAACTGGCCACTGGGTGGACTTCAGCATAGCAGTATCTTTAGACCAGGGGTAGGCAACCTTGGCTCTTTTATGACTCCTGGACTGATTGAAGTAAATGGCTGGCTTAGGAATTCTGGGAGTTGAAGTCCACGAGTCATAAAAGAGCCAAGGTTGTGCCTTCTTTCACAATTAGGCCAAAAGATGAAAAGTGAACATTCTTCTGACGCTTCAGGTGTTTCTGTTTGTATTTCAAATTACACGTTAAAGTAAAGATGACAGTCAAGGGAAAGCAAATCATACATGAAATACAGTAAACATAAAAATGCAGTAATGTAGCAAGATGCAGTGAAAATAATGCTTGTATTTTGAGAAATATTTTGCTAAAAACTACATTCTAGTTTAAAAAAAAAAGACTGCCTGGAGCAAGAGATCTGCTAGATGCGCATTTCTGACTACACTGGGAACTGAGGTGGCTAGTATAGAAACGAGAATAGCAAAGCCAACGATTGAGCAGGTTTTGAGAAGAAATGGGGAAAATGAAAATCTAGAAATGACACAAAAACCAAAATGGGAAACCCCTCACAAGGCAAAAAAATTCAGGAGACCTGCAGTGCAGACTTCAGGAAGGTTTGCAAATGTTGCTTCCTGATGAAAACTTAAGAAAGTGACAGAGAAGTAACAAGAGTACAAACGTATACCTAATCCTGGCCTGCTGGTTTTGGTACAATGGAAACTTCTCCCGAAGGATGATATAGAGAGAAAGAGGAAGGGAGATTTTTGTTCAAATGACCAGCAGTATGAGAACTTCTGGCAGAACTTGTTCTGATAAAAGAGAATATTTGTAGCTCAGGGTTGGATTGTGAGGTCCTTGGTGCTGTCCAAGCTTGGTGGTTTTCTTGCAGACATTTCATTACCAACCTAGCTAACATCAGTCAACATCTGCCGGGTAAACCACCAAGCTCAGAGAGCACCAAGAACCCCACAGAACTTGTTCTCATTATGCCAAATCGCAAGAGATTTAGTCTCTTTTCTAGAAAACTCATTGCATTGAATTTTTTGAAAAAATCCTTTTTAGTGTGACTTACAGCTTTTTCTTCTTCAAAGCCTAAGAAGATGAATAAAATAAAGTTGTGATTAGCAGAAACAGGTTGTCCAGGTGATTATCCTAAACAAAAGGCTGAATAAAAGTTTTGATTTGGCAACATTTGGATGCGATAGATTTTAATCTTACAATTATAGGGTTACAAGACATATAAGATTCATTCTGTTTCAAGTTCAACATCAGAAAAAAATAAAAAATACATGTACAGAAGTTATGCCTATATATGTACAGTAAACATATAACTCACCCCAAAGGTTTTCACATTTTTTCACCACAAACTTGTTTTTTAAAGAAAAAAATCCTCTTACTAAAAAAGGTGGGGCTTCTGAATGAGGGGCTGCAATCAGCCTTTTCACTGAACCTTAATAATCAAGGGGGGAAAGCAACTTAAGCTTTAGTTGTGTGGAGACTTTTTCTCTTCTCTCTCCCCACCTCACCTGGGTCCCTAGTGGAGAGCTTTCCATTAATTCCTGGCTACCTCTCCCAGTTCCCATACATACTTTACATTATTTCCATAATGATATTTGATGCATACAAAATCATTTTCCTCATTCCCACACCCACCCATATTGGTAACCACTATGTTGTTGTTGTTGTTAGTTGCGAAGTCGTGTCCCACCCATCGCGACCCCATAGACAACGTTCCTCCAGGCCTTCCTGTCCTCGGTAATCACTATAGCTTGCACCAATGCGCGATGTCTTTAGTTTTACAAAGAGTAGCGTATTGATATAGATATGCAGTAGAACCAAGTAAAAGTGGTTGCAGAAGTTTACATCCATCCTTTAGTTTGAAAAATTCCCTGGCTAGGTTTCAATAATGAAGGGGCTTCTCTGCCTTTATCAAATTGGAATAGAGGCTCTCCTTTTAATCCTCATTTTAACAAACTATCTGAGAGCTTCCTAACTAATATCAAAAAGAACAAATCAAAATCAAATAATAAAGGGCTGAAGAAGCACAAATCTTAAAAATATCCAATGTCTAAAATTGTAGTCAATTTCTTAAAAAAACTTCAAACCTTTAAAACCTTTAAAGCCTGGAATAGTTTAAAAAAAAAATTTAAAAAAAAATTCTGTAGTCACTTTGGATGTAAAATAATACAAAGATTTCAGAAAAATCTCCATTTCAGAAGGGCTTCACACACAACCCCCACCCCTCTTTGCTGGTAACTAAACTCTATGCTTTATCTGAGAGAGCACCTGGAAAACAGTCTCCAAAGATAATCTTAGATATGCTGTGCATTATTCTCTTCCTTGCAGGAACGTTTTGCCATTTTTCTTGAAGGATGCATGAAAGGAAATTCCTTGTACAATCGGTTGGCATTTAACTACCGTGTAACAGAAGATGGAAATTTTCCATTTACAACAAAGATCATATATGGAAATCACATAAATGCTCTCCCAACCAAGGTCACTGTTGTATGTAAAGGTAAGAAGTAATGGGTTGTATTTGATGATTGAACAGATTATTAAAGTGAAGAATCCTTTGAGCTCACCTCAGTTCTTGGTGATTTATAGGTACAAGCAGGTCAGAAGCAGTAGATAGTGGAAAATGCAGTAGCCTATTTGTTGGTTGACGAGAGCCGCTACAAGCCATGAGCCCTACATGGGATCCCACTCGCTTTCTGAGTGCAGTTCAAAGTGCTATATTTTTAAAAAATCTATAAACCCTCATACGGTTGGGGGATATTAAGATCACTCCTTTGTCATGGACAGATCCTCGACCCTGCAAGGAGGTGGGGCCTGTTCCATCAGCCCACACCAGGCAATCGATGGCGCCATTAGGGTTTCAGTGGGAATTGGAGGTTATTCCTGATGTTCTGACGTATGGTCTTGCTGAGATCTTGGTCATGGCTTGGAATAAGTGATGACTTGGATCGGACCAGATCACACATGTGTTGGCTCTATGGATCCTTTGGAGCTCTCCAGTTTACAGAGCAGCTCTGGGACTTGTGGCAATAAAAGCAGCAAAGAATATCATATCCACAGATAGCCAGCCAATGCCCCCATTTTGGATGACCAGGTGTGGTATGAGAATTATACTAGGTATCCCTTGGATAAAGTTGCTGGGTTTCACTCAGTTGGACTCTGGCTTGGGAAGTCTTATGGAGGTGCTTGAGGCACATCTTAGCCCAATTAACTAGGAAGAAGTTGAGCCAATCAGCAAAAGTCTACAGTCTTGCCTTACTCCTTTCTGTATTTCATAGGGTTTAGTCAATACCCCATTAACTATAATTTGTACCCTTTGTGAAGCATATATTGATTTCAACCATGTAATGAATTTTCCCCCAATATCCATATCTTCTAGAATTTTGAATATAAATGTTTGGTTCAGGTTGTCAAATGGTTTCTAAATATATTCTTTTAGAGTTCCCACTTATAAATAGATGTCTCTATATGTCTATCAGTTCAAAACTGCCAAGATAAATTCTTCTCCCAAATTCTTAAAAAATCAGTTTATTTTCAACAAATTTCATCCCTTAATTTCATACTTGATATCACAAGTAGAATTCCTTCTAATTTGCAACTTGTCCAGTCCTTTACAGTGGACGTGTACTTAATTCAAAAATTACAGAGGTATTAGAGGTTCCTATTAATGGGATACCCAATTAGAAGTATGCATTTTGTTTTAGTATATAACTTCTTCTCTACTGTGGGGATTCAAAGACCTCAATAGAAAAAAAAAAGTCAACTACCACACAAAAAGAATAGGACTGGAGAGAAATAAATGCAATATTTTCATACTGCAATTCCTTGTCCTCTTTTTTTTTTCCCCTTCAGATAAAGATGCACCAGTTTCTGTGGACGAGATGGCAGCAGCTCATTTGGCGTTGTTCTATGAGAAGCCTCTTCAAGATGTCTTTATTTCTATCACAGCCTCAGCTGAAAATCTGAATCAACCTATTGCAGCCGCATCATCTTCCTGTTCCATATCTGGTAGCAAAAGTGTTCCCTCTGAGGTTGCTGCATTATAAATTGCACTAAGGTAGGGAGATGAAGCGGGATCTCACAGTAACAGAGATTGTTCTACCCAGAAAACATATAGTATTGATGAAGAGTTGTTTATTTTAGTATAAAAATAAAATACTTTAGAATGCTGAAATGCTATTAGCAACCTGAGGGATGATAGTGCATGTTCCAGTAAAATTCTGGCAGATAATATCCTTTAGTTGAGTCTTTTTTTCAAGTAAGTACAAGATAGATTGGTCACATTTTCATTTTTAGTTTACATGTTATATTCTATGAAGTATTTACTATTTTCCTATGAAAGTGTAGCCCATTTCATTTTCCCGTGAAGGGGACTAGAAACTTGTCCTTGTGGCAGTATTTACATTGTAACTATGCTTTGCTTAGTTTTGATGTTGAAGTTCTGATTCTACAGACTTCAAGGGTAAGAAAGTAGTTTCTTGGTATATTTCATTAAATAATAGCATTAGCACTTAGACGTATATACCGCTTCACAGTGCTTTACAGCCCTCTCTAAGCGGTTTACATATTGCCCCTAACAACCTGGGTCCTCATTTTATTGACCTCAGAAGGATGGAAGGCTGAGTCAACCTTGAATGGGTCAGGATCAAATTCCAATGCTGCATTCTAACCACTGCACCACTACAGTTCTAATTTGCCTAGATTAGAATGATTAAATTATTTAGAAAAATTAATAAAAGTTATCTAACTTAGTTCAAATGTTTGTTGCATCTTTAATTGTGTAGTAGTCATTAGTTTTGTTTTGCAGGTTTTTCTCTGTCCCAAATTTGATGTAATCATTTTTTTAAAGTCAGGAATATAATCAAACATAATCATAGTTGAGGGGGGTCCTTGGTGCTCTCTGAACTTGGCTATTTTCTTGTAGACATTCCATTAACCAAACTAGCTAGCATTGATGATGCTACCTAGTTTGGCTAATAAAACATCTGCAAGAAGACCACCAAGCTCAGAGAGCACCAAGGGACCCCCCCTCCCATTTTAACCCTGAGCTACAAATATTCTCCTTTATTGATAATAAAAGTTTTTGTTTTTATGAATTTAGTCAAGATTTTTGCTTGTTTCCATATTGGCATAGGCTCCTTTGTATCTTAGGACTGAGTTGGTAAGCCAAAGTTTCTCTTTTCTCTTGATGAGTCAAGGCTGAGCTAAACATAACCAGGGTGAGAGGGCACTTACACTCTTCTTTTTCTTCCAGGCTACATCAAAAGAACAAAGAGCTGTTCCAAATTGATGGAGCAGAGACTCTGAAATAAGGCCAAGGACTGCAGGATAGCCAGTCTGCTTTGCATCCTGTCCTACCCAAGGCCCTTAGTAGCATGAATAAATTATTTAATTCTGCCACCTCATCTCACTTATGATGACTTTTGTTCTCTAGCATTGAACATCTCCTATTTTTAAAAATATTGTCTTACATTGTTTTAAAACTGTAGATATAATAGTATTCAAAGACTCATACCCTCCTCCTTTAGGCTTGTCCTGCTTCCATTACAACTCTCTTTACTTGATTCTGGCCAAGCTCTGCAAAGAGGCAGTATTTTCCACTGAAATGTCTAACTTGCCTATGTGAAATGAGAAATTATATATGGGATTATATAAATATCTGATTTAGTAGGATTATCTGTGTGGATTAAAATTTTGTATATCTGAAAACGCTGCAAGAAGATGAATTTGGTCCTCTGGCACATTTGTATCAGCCTTTCACTCAAAGCTCCCAAAATAGATTGCACAATACAGTAGTGAGGAAAGCTGTTCTCAGTCTTGGCTCTGATATCACATTTTCACAAATTAAATATAGATTAAATGGGGACATGATATGAAATTTCCTTTATATATTCTATATTTGTACATGTTTTATTATGCAATAAAACTTTAAAAAAAGAACTAATCTGTAGTAAATGTAAAAAACCAACTAATAATCAGGGGTTTATGGTTCTTAACGGGGCAGCCCTCCTTACCATGCAGCCCCTCCCCCACAAGCCTCCAAGTATAGCCTTTGCTGATTTGGGAGTTCATCATTAAGACACAAGTCCTCAGTGTTCAGCAATACAAAGTTTGCTCTTTTGTTTATGTGTGAATCAGACAAAAACGGTGCGTCAACAGACTAGTTATCCTCTCTTGACTTATTATAGTTAAAATATTCCAATAGCATAATGGCACTCAGACATCACTCTGAAATCAGAACTCATTTCTTCCAATAAGGTTATTTAGCATTCAACCCAAACATGCACATTTTCCCTTAGAGTGAATGACACAACCCCCTTTTTCTCCCCAAAAGAACACAAGAGACAGCAATTTTAAAATCAAACTGAATCTATTTGAGAAACTAAACAAATTACATAATTTTTATTTCAACATAACAATCAGATGAAGGCTTTTAATAAAACAGCCTTGGTTCAGGCTGTATAAATCTCTTCCTTTTAAAGCATCAGCAAAGTTGAGGGCAGAAAGGGACGCAAGGCACAGCCTGAAAGAGGCACCTTACTTTCACAATTAAGATGCATTAAAAATATAAAGGTATCTGTTCTCATATATATTATCATATATATATATATATATATATATTACCATTCATCTACATGAATGATCTCTTTCCCTTTTCCCCTCCAAAATAGAGCATCTTGTTACAATGAAAAAGATTTTGCGTGTTCTTTTTCCTTTCTGCTATTTGCCTGTTTTGAGGCAATTATTAACTCCATTTGAACCAAGTGTGAACTTTATGCAGTTTTCCTAGTTTGTCTGCCCATTTGTGATACCCATTCGGAGCTTGCATTTGTTTTTACAAAGAAGTCTACAGAGCTTGGATCAATGGAAAATTAAAACCACTGCACATTTGAACTAAAAAGATAATGCAGAGTGATCTAACCAAGCAAGGCTGCAGTGAGAATTCTATTACCTCCAGGCCTGAATGTGCAAGAAGCCACGTATTTGTGCAAAAGGCAGGATTCTTCCTATCGAAATCTCCTTTCTACTGCCCTTTCTATATCAACAGACAAATGCAAACTGATGGCAAGGGAGCCCCTTTACAAATAATAAATGTTCAAGAAGAAAGGAACAAGCAAAGGGGTGATTTCCTGTAAATCTATTAATGGTGTATATACCAATCTCCCATCCAGAGCAGCAGGTGCTGAAAGCAGTTTTGTCTTTGGGCATTACAGAGGGTACCTGCTTTTTTCTGCTATTTGCATGTAGAGTGTGAGAAGTTCAAGAACTGTCAACCACCTGATGAGGCAAAGTCACACATGAACCATTGATAAAGGAACCTTGCTTTTCACGTCCTTTCATAAAATAGGTCAGCAAGTCACCTTTGCCTTTGACGTAAATGTGCCCTCGACGCACAAAGCGGAAGCCATACTCTTTCAAGATAAAGTGAGTTTCTTCCACCACCTAAAAAACAGAATACACAGATATAATCAAACAGGTTGCAGCTAAGACTTATCAGCCAAATGTTTCTTTTTAGGCTGTTTTGGGTTTTGTGTCAATATTTTACCCACCTTTTTAACTGACCCAAAAGAAGTGAACTACAAAGATTGTGTTATATTGTGGAATGAGGATATGTCAAACCTCATCAAAAAGAAAATAAATGCAGATGGAAAATTCTACAAAGATCCATAAATACACCCTCTTGGAGCATACAACCAGGAAAATGTATAGTATGAATATATGTTCTGCTAAGTTATGTTTCATCACTTTGGAAACTGTTGTTACTTACCTGAAATCACTTCCTGATTTTCAGGAGGGGAGAGTATATAAGCAAACAGTATTAATCATTAAATTATTAAATATCTTTTTTTTAGTTGGGACTTTGTTAAAATGCTACACAACCGACAGCAACAATGCCATTTTAAAGAAAGGAGTCTCCTTTTTGGAAGTTTCCAACCTGTCTTCTGGAGAATCTTGGAGTTCCTTCTCTGTTTAACAGCAATTTCTGAAGGTCAATAATGGCAGGCAAGGGTCTGGAAAGTCAGTTCCCTCACCATTATAACAATTGTTCCTTACCCCTGGACTCCCCAACTAAGTAACTTTGCCGATATATTCTGATCACCTTCAATCAGCATGACCAGTGCATTGATTGTGAATTACAATGGTTGTGTAGTCCATTATATCTGGGTGAACCCAATTGATTGTCTGATATCTCTTAAGAGCAGATTGGCATTCAGTGTGACTGGAATATAATTCCTTTAAAATGCCCCCAAGTCCACTGTCTGATTTACACAGACCTCTCATTTTAATCTGCATTGAGGCGAACTGAGAAACCACTTTAGATAAGTTTCTTGTACCTTTTCAGAGCATCCTAATATATAAGAAATAATGAGATTCCATACAATGCTGCTATGCATATTGACCCCTACTGTCTCCATCTGGGCCCACAGTTTCTAACCCTTTCTGCCCTTACTACACAATAGTCATTAAACCTGACCTTAATGCAGTTATTGTCAGAAGTGCCTATAATTTCAGTTAACTGCCACCATTTTCAGAAACCTTCCTGTTGTCCCCATCAAAGCAAAAGAGTTTTCCCACCTGTATATTTCCCATGACACCTGTGGACTCCATCCGGCTTGCCACATTCACAGTGTTCCCCCAAATATCATAGTGAGGTTTACGGGCACCAATCACCCCTGCTAGCACTGCTCCTTTATTCATGCCTGTCAGTACATTATAGCAAAAAGAGAAAGTGAGAAACAAATGCATCAAGTATTCAACAGTACTTTTCAGTCTGCCTCAGAGCCAGAACAAGACCACAAGTAGGGAAAGCTAAAATCCCTGATGGATTTGAACAATGATTCAAAAGAAATCAGGACACTGCATTTCACAGTACCTAGTCAAATATCTAGGCTCGGGAGCCCAGAACTATGAGTGCAGTAGCGACCTCCCCACTTCACTGTTGTTCCTCAGGTATTAGTATTTAGAAAAGGAACATTTTGGAACATTTGGCAAATAGATTTTTCCTCCTTTTTTTTCCTTTAGAGCATCCATTAAAACCATCTAACCTAACAGCTATTATCTGGTAATGTGTAAGCTGTCATGTGTCTGATTAACGAAACACTTAAAAGGACTTTCAGGCATATTTTCTTCTAAAAGCATTTATTAAGGTTACAGAGACGTCAGTACAGCATGGTGGAAATGCTTAGGTCTGCTTCTCTTCCGTTAAGCATATACATTCCAAGCATTTCCCACTCCCTTATTGTAGGGTCATGGTTCACATCTTCCAATCAACTGGAAGATGTGATTTACTTCCGGTTTCTTTCTCCCGGGCTATTCTTATGCTCCTCCCTCTTTCCCAGTTGCTGGTTTAACTATATAAATACCAGACAGTTCTGCATATTGTCAAAGCAAGAATATACAGTATTTGCAGCGTTGACATAAGCATTCACTTTGCCCTGAGTCTGATAGTAATCAATTGCATTGTTCCAGTGTACTGAGATTAGTCCCATCTAGCCCATATCAGTTACATAGGATATCCCACTTGCCTATTCGCAGCATGAAGTTATTGAAGGACTGATAGTTAATGTTCATCAAGGTCTCTTTCATGGCTAAGGCAAAGTCTGCAAGATCTGCCAAATGTTGCCAGCGCTCCTTTTCTGAAAGATCTTCCTTCTAGGGAAGGCAAAACACCAACATTAAAAAAAAAAAAAAAATCAGAAGAGGAACACTTCTCCAGTTTTAAATTTTATTACGAGCTACCCTGAATAAGTCTAGCTCCCAAATCTCTTATACATGTTAGACTTCATTAAATGTATATGCATATATTAAAACTCATTTTCTAATGACCTGCAAGGTTTTTGAGTCTGGGCTGTTTCATTTTGTCCATATTTTTAATTGTTTTAATTTTGTATTAGATTTTTTTGTAAGCTGCCCAGAGTCTGCTGGAATGGCCAGTCATAACAAATTCAAACAAATCATACCTGATTATTATTATTATTATTATTATTATTATTATTATTATTATTATTATTATTATTATTATTATTATTATTACTTTAATTTATACCCCGCCCTTCTCCCGAAGGACTCAGATGTGGAGCCTATAGCCCTTTAGCTAGTTCTCAACATCAGTCCATTCTTGGATGATTTTGGTTAGGTCTGCAGTGAGTTGTTACTCAGCAGTATCTGGAGGGTCTCTACCCTTAAACTAGAGGGGCAATTAATTCCATATTAATCAAGGCACTACAGAAAAATTGTGCACAGGTAGTGAATTAATCCTTGAGCGAGTGGGTAGTTCTATCTGTTTTGAAGGGTGTGATAGTCTTCTCAAGAAATCCCTGTGGAACTCAACAGCTCTGTATAACTGTCATTGTTATTGTTGTTATTATTTATCCATTCCATTTTGGAGAGAAGGTGGTTGGATTGCAACTTCAGGTGGCCTTTGAAGCAGCAACCTTTTCCTGTGAGAGTAGTAAGGAGGCAGCATTGATTGCATTTAATAATGATGTATTATGGCCTGATATAGGGACCAGGATAGGGAAGATGCATCCATCCTGGTCATTCTTGACATCTTCACAGTTTTCAATATTTTAGTAATTAATCATGGTATTTGACAAGAGCAATTTATGAGGGTGGAGTGCAAGGTATATTTTGTATGAGTTTTCTTCCTTCAAGGCCTGTTCCAGCACCAGAGGGCAGGACAAGAAATAATGGTTGGAAACTGACCAAAGAGAGAAGCAACCTGGAATTAAGGAGAAACTTCCTTAATTAATCAGTGGAACAGCTTGCCTTCAGAAATTGTGGGTGCTCCATCACTGGTGATTTTTAAGAAGAGACTAGACAGTCATCTTCTGAAACAATATAGATTCTCCTGCTTGAGCAGGGGGCTGGACTAGAAAACCTCCAGGGACCCTTCCAGCTCTGTTCTGTTGTTCTATTCTATTCTATTCTATTCTATTCTATTCTATTCTATTCTATTCTATTCTATTCTATTCTATTCTATTCTTCTGTTCTGTTCTATACACAAAACCTGAATGAAGTCATCCAACAACAAAGGATTAGGAATCATCAAAACACTGATATCTATACAGCTCAGTCCCTGGTTACACAATGATGTTGTCAAGGTTCTATCTCACTGGAGGCAATGGGGTCTGGATAGGGAGGAATAGGTTCAGGCTTAACTGAAGACTACCCAATCCTGGAGATTGTTCCATCTCTAATTCTGGATGGAGGCACACTACTCCAGCCAGAAGTACGCACTTCGGGGATCTTGTTGGCTCTTGCTGAAGGAGCAGGTGGTAGCCAGTTAGGAGTACCTTTGTGCAAATTCTTATGTGCCTCTTGAATCCATTCCTGGATTCAAGGGAAGTCATAAGGAGAGTCCTTAAGCAAATTCATTTTCTCAAATGTCCAATTTGGCTGGGAAGCAGCAAAAAAAGCAGAAACTGGGGGGAAGGGAGTTACAAATTATGGGACACTGCAACCAGTCATAAATATACCCAGTTATCAAGCGCTTAAAAAGCGATAATGTGACCGTGGGTGTGGATGGATACTTCCACAGTCGTAATTCTTCTGTCTTTCTTTCACTACTTACCTTAACAGTGTTGTAACCATTGATGTTGACATCGGGTGTCACACCAGAAGCTGCCATGTATGTACTGCCAATGGTTTTGATTTTAGTGATGCATCGGAACTGGGGATCATCCAGGAGCTGTGAGAGTGAGAGATCTCATAATTATTGCAAGGATCAATAAATCAGTCAGGAAGGTAGATTTGGGATTCTGTGGAGCTGATCAGAAGCAATGAGGACCAATTCTTGACCTTACAATGCAATCTTATACATGTCTGCTGAAACATAAATCCTATTAATGTAATGCAATATATACCTAGACACATTTATACAGGACTGCACTCTTCCCTATCATGTGTGCCTCATGAAAAAAATGGTGTACAGATACTCCCCAGAACACGAAGCACATAATATAAGCAATAACTTGAAGTAAATATGCTGTATGTGTATATGTTAGATTTGCATGCTTAAATTTATCAATGCAATAAAGATATGTGGCACGGACATTTACTGCCAAGGCTCAGAAGCACAGATTTTGAATTCACATGATCTTATTTCCCTTTTTGAAGGGGATGAACATTTATGATATATAGTAAAGTGATAGGTAGCAAGATCAACACAGATCAATTCCTCTGGTATCTTGCAAATCCAGTATGTAATTAATATGGGCACAACTGGATCTTTCAAAGGAGGGAGCAGAGCACTGACAACTGGCTACTATATGCCTGTTTTAAGCTGAGTGGCCCACTAAAGCAGGATGGGGGAATGCTACTTTGGCAAAAAGAAAATGTAGATACCTTGACTTGGCAGAAGACTGTCTTAAATATACCATGTGAAAACCTTTTTAATACATTTGGTGTAGGAACGGCAATTATCTGTATTCTTATGAAATAGTAACACTGTCAATGTTTTAAATCTATGCCTTTCTTGCTTTGGATAGTGGACTTGTCATGAGGTTTGAGGACATGAGGAATTCCTGAAAATATTACTGGTGCTAAAACAAGATGATAATTTAATTACAATGTTGTTCTTCAACATGGTTTTACTTTTGTGGATCACCTGTAAATTGGTTTTGAGAGAGGGTTTGGCACATAACTTTTTTTCTTCAGCACTAGCACCAAAAGCAAGATAGAAATTGATAAAACAGAGTTGTATTATGAAAATCCAAGTTTTACCAATTGATGACAATCAATATAGCAGGTAGTTTAGGTAAAATAACAGATTTCAATACTGCTATGTAACGAAACTCATAGTTCCTAACACAGGAAGCATATCTCTTCAAGGACAACTCTTAGAATAAGTAATTGATTTTCTTTGGGCCAACTGATTAAGAGGGTACTTTAGCCTATTAATTAAAACTGACTCACCGCATCAAAATCTGAGATTATTTCATTGAGGAAGCGAAGGCACTCAATCCCACCATTATTTATACTTTCCTCTGTGTAGAAGTCGGCAAAGTTGGGGATAGAGGCAAACATAACACCAATTTCATCGTAAGACTGACTATACAGCTCCTACACAAGAAGGCAAGAAAGGTGAGGAAATTAAAATAGATAAATGGTGCTTCTATATTCAGGCATAATTGTCTTCGTGTACTCAATTGTGCAATGCAACATTATAAACAATCTCATCTCATCATTTCTACATTGTCTTCTAGTTTATAGTATTGCATCTCCCTGAAGGAGGCAACAGCTAGCAGTGCCTTTATCACCTTTGGTTAATGCATCAATTGTATGCCTTCCTGGAAGAAAATAATTTAATGGTGTGATTAACACACTGGTTATCTCTAGTCTTAATAAAACTATAACATGATCTATACTCTGGAGTATACCGAGTTGCCAACACAGGTTTGATTTAATTCCCACTTTTGCCTATCATCCCCTTTAACAAAAAAAATCCTACTTGCATACTGTTTTCTCCATGAACTGCTTGTTTTCCAATATGTACCTCATCTCGTTTCTTAGAGCCAAGAAAATGGCGTGCCACGTGATCTGGCAGCATGTTGGTGACAAGAGCTTCATTCCAGCGCCGCATCTCGTACACACGCTCCTTCTGGCTATGAACATCAATTTTCCATAAGAATAAAATCCTAGCCAACTTTTCTACCTGCAGCGAGGGAGGGAGGGAGAGGGGAGAAATGTCACTCTGATAATGTAGTCCAAAATCCCACATTAAAATTTGATATTGTCTTTTATTCCTCAATGATACTAAAAAGCTATGCCATTACCAAGTTGAATCATTCATATTCTGAATGAATCTTATCTAAATGCAAAAAAGTACATATGTACAGAAATATTTGTTCTTGTTCTGTCCCCGTTCCGACCCACACACCCAAACAGCCAGCCGAGGGTTTAAGACTTCTCCAGACACCACTTCACAGATAAGAAACTTGGCAGCAGCTCCGTAGCTGCCTGCCAAGACCTTTACTCCAAACACACAGAAACAAAAACAATACACACAGTTGAATGCCACAGCACACTACTTTGCCAGAGATTCAGCTTTTGTCCGTCACAGAGGTCCAAATGGCCACCACCACCCTTTTATAGCCTGTGGGGTGTGGTCCAGTGACTCAGCTTAATCTCTGGCACGTCTCTTTTTCTGCTGCGCACGCTTATCGCTCCTACGC